AACAGAAAAAATCCATACAGTAAATATAATATTTTGTACAATTGTATATAAAGAATTTATAATATAAATAGTAAATAAATAATTAATTAATAAATATAATTATATGTTAATATTATTATAATATATATATATATATATATATATATATAATACTTTTTATTATATTATATTTTTGAGGTTATTTATTGCATTCAGAAAATGATAATTGTTTCTCTTTTTGTTTTTCAGCCACAGCAAGTGGTCCAGGAAAAGCCCGCTCAGGTATGCACCATATATAATTTATACAGCAGATGGACATGCACACATATGCATATGCACAAACAGTGATTGTATGAGGAAGAGGATTTGCTGTTTGGGTTTACAAAGTCCTCAAAAACCCAAAGTGAGTGAAAGGGGAGCATAATTCTGGTTTGATGAGAGATCTGCTTGGTTAAGGCTAATGCAAATCCTAAAGCGCTATGTGTGGAATCCCAGTCTTCTTTGGGTTCATCCCCTCACAGATGGATATGCAATTTGGCTGACAGGATTAGTTTTGAAGAGTTGCCCCTTTTTTCTCTCTGTTGTCAAAATTCCTTCAGCGTATTAACAATGGAGTCAGCTTTATAGTCTTTGTGCACAGCGCTACTTTAATGTGCTCATGAAGAAAGACAGCAGCCCTGCTGCCTATATGCTGGCTGAATACGACTAATCGAATATAAATAAAATTGTGATAAACATCATACATTAAAAATACATGAAAATAAAACAAACAAACATTATTGGTTTTTATATTGATTTAATTAATCAGCATTTCATGTAATGAATTCAGTTAATTTTTTTTATTGATTAATATATCTACATCAATTATTCATAGATACAACATTTTCCATCAAACCTATTCACTACTAACAAAGCATTTGTTTTGACCTTTTGGAATTCAGACTTGGTTTGAAAATGCCATATATATAATTCACCCCAAAATAAAAAATTCTGTCAACATTTCCTCACCCTCAAGTTGTTCCAAACCTATATGAGTTTCTTTCATCTGTTGAACACAAAAAGAAGATATTTCAAAGAATGTTGGTAACTAAATATTTGACGGTAGCCATTGACGTCCATAGTATGGACAAATACTTTGTACCACATTCTTCAAAATATCTCCGCAGAAGAAAGATGCTCATACAGGTCTGGAACAATTTAAGAATGAAACTGAATTTTCATTTTTGGGTCTCTTTAATGGTGATGTTTGCTGTGTGTTGTCTTAATAGAGTGTAAAGACCCTAATAAGTAAAAGCACAATGGCTTGAGATACAATTCCTCACTCTCCCACACAATCTTCACACATTTACTAGGAATCTGCTCACCTCCTCTTGTTCGTTGGTGCGGACAAGTTTACGGTGTGAATGCATAACTGAGGCCTGATTTGTTGCTATGTGGGAACGCACAGACCCTGATGGCTTTGCGCCGAACTGGAAGGCCTAGCACATACGCTCACACACATAAACACACGGGTATCTATACGTAGCCTGAGATGGTATCTCTAAACCGGAAGGCAAAACTATTAGTACCATCTTGATTAATTATATGCAATGAAATTCTCTCTGAGAACAAATGTTTTTAGCCATTGCGTCACTTTTTTTAAGCATCTTACACCATAAGCATTGAGTATTTAAAGGTCCCATATTGTCAAAACTGAAATGTTTTCACGATAACTGAGGTCTAGGGGCTATTTAACTACCTTATAAGTTTCAAAACAGTCAGTCCACAGTAAAATGCACACAGCCTGCATAAAGTAGCTGTGATTTTTCACGAACCGTTGTGACTTCCGTAAAAAGCTGACGTCAGAACTACACAGTCACTGCCTTCAGTCACCACCCTGAGCACCACCCACAGTCCCACTCTCCTTTTGCCAAACCCCCAGACAACATTGCGGAAACATGCCGAAAAGGTTAATAAAACTCCAGAAAGGTGTAAAATATGTGACCTTTAAGACTTCGTTATAAGTTTAAAAATGTATCTCAAGACCAATGCATTCCATGAAGCTATTTAGAACTCATCTTTTCTAAAAGCCACCTAAGAAATGCATCTGATTGGGGTCAGGTGAACCTGAGACTACAGGGCTTCCTTCCTTAAGTCTGACATATGAAGTAATAGTCCAAGAAATCTAAAGTTTATCCCGTTTTCACAGACAAGGCTTAAGCCTAGGCCCAGACTAAAATGCGTGTCTGAGCTGTTTTAACTGAAAGAAATTTTCACTGACATATCTTAAAATATGTCAGTGCCGTTGTTTTGTCTCAAGATGCACACCAGTAAAGTTTTTTTACTGGTGTAACGTTTATTAAAACTACTTAAATGTACTAATTGAATTCTGGCCTAATCCTGGCTTAATCTAAGCCCTGTCTTTGAAACCAGGCCTATAAATTTATTGAACCTTTAGACAAAATCTAAAAGAAAAATATATATATATAAAGAAAAAAAGTTTGTTTTTTGTTGAGTATCATATGTGATATATCAGGCTTTTATAGGAGAATAAGGAGCTCATACTCGAGGAGGAAAAACACCTACATTTTATTTAGAGGCCCAAACTACAATTTGCTACAGGTGCTGATATTTATAGGACCAAAAATGAAATTCTGATAGCTTGTAAATCAATGGAATTTTTATAACAGTATGGCAGACTACTTACATAAGATGCATGTAAATATCAGTTTTCACGCTATCTCTCCCTATAATATGTCTTAGTAAGATGAAATTTAAATGCTTAGTTTTATTATCAAAGCTCCGTAGGTTTAATTATGGGGGGGCAAAACATATAATGCAATGCAATACAGTGATGATTGAGTGATGAACAAATAAAGATTCCTCAAAAGCCTGATACATTTTAACATGATTTTCTAAAAAAATATGTATGGATAATCAAATAAGCCTAATTTGCTTCAGTCCAATAAGTATTAATCTTGAAATATTGCTAACAATATTCAATTTATTCTTACATTTACTTTATAAAAATCTATAAAGATTTTACAGCAAAACCACGACCTGAAGGTGGACAGTGTTGGAATTTTACTAAAAGGCCATTTACCCAATGGCCATCACCCAATTGTTCAGGCAACCTACGAACTAATCCGTGTTAGTTTTGCAAAACCCTTCACTGGGGGAAAAATGTACTCGTAATTTTCTGTCAGGTCATTATCCAGTTATTTTACAGACATTTCTGTTAACCCTGAAATACAACGCAATAAAGTGCAAAATTCAAAATACAGATAAAACACCTGTAAAAAAATATAATACAGAAAATTCCTTCATATTAATACAATACATTGTGCCCTATTTTTACAGATTTTTTTACTACTTACAGTAGTGTTTTTGTTAATATGGCAATATTAGCGGTGTTCAATTTGTTTTTCTTAATAGCATTATGTTATAATTAGTTTAAGTGCCTCTTCTAGTTATGATGCTAATTTCCCTCAACTTCAAAGGGAATAAAAGATCTGCCATTAACCCACGACAGAAGCTTTTAATTACTATTGCTGAACCATCTTCTTTCCTCGTTGGTGAATGGTTAAACCAAGCGCATGGTAATCTTGGCCACTGAATTTGTGGAGCAGAATTCCATTGAAGTTTAGTGTATTTCGAGTGCTGTAGCTGTGCCTTTAATTGCTCTCAGAATGAAAGAGCAAGCGATGATGCGTGAGAGTCTTTTAATCATTTTGATTCCAAAAAATGGAATGTTTAGTTGGAATCTATGCAAAAAAAAATTTAATTTTGAAACATGTATCATAGTTGTAGTGCTGAAATAAAACAAACTACCAGAAGAAATCAGAAATTCCATTTGAGCACATAAGATTTTTGAACTAAGCTGGTATTTCCTGGTCTGTGTGGCACTTCAGTTGGAAGCGCAATTGGCGGGCAGGGGTGCCCGAATATGATTAAAGAGGTTTTTTCTTTCATTCCTCCCCCCTCTCCATCTCTATTCTTTCACTCGCCCATGTCACACATGGTAGCGCTTAGCTGGTCCTTCACAGCTGAAGTGTCTGCCGCACTAATGAATGGAGTTTGGCTCATATAATGCAGACAGGCTTTTGCCACGGCCTTTCCCCTGAATGGGAGCAACACAGCGACTTGCGAAAGGAAGAGGGTTATAAATTGTGTCAGTTAGCCTCCCCAAATAAAATGAAGCCGTGTGGAAAATGAAATCCATTTCATTCTGAAGAGTGTCCAAAGCCAAGCGTCTCCTCAGCCCCCATTCACCGCCTTCCTCTCGTTTCAATGGTGGTCATCTCAGCAGCAGCTGCGGGACGTTCACTGTCTGAGCTCATGAAAAAGAACATTTGTAACCAAAACAATAACAAAAAAAAAATATATATAAATGCTAATAGCTGTGCTATTTCAGTCCATCTCACTGCTGTCTAACGTTTTTACACACAGCCGGGTTCTGCTGTGCAGCCGTCTTTTTGTGGTGACTGATGGGCAACCGCTGTTGTGTTTTGTAGGAAGAAGAAGAGGAGGAGGCGGAGCAAGAAGAGGACTAAGCAACCACAGGATTTTACCTCTACCTCATCCAGCTGTCAGCTCTCTCCAAGGGAAAAGACTGCCTTGACCACTTATTATTGACTTCCCACTTTCGTTTGATCATTTTTCTCATGGGTTTATTTGGGTTTGATTTCGTTTTGTGATCAACACACACAACACCTCAGAGCGTAACCCGAAAAAAAAGACGCAAATGCAAACAAACATCTTGCAGATGACAATTGGAGCCGCCTTGCTGTTTCCACTTCCCACAAAACTGCTGTCAGCACAAAGGTGCAGGGGTTAAACATACAGAATGTACACACATTCTTGTTGACTGATTTTCCAGACTACATTGGTAAAGTAGAAGGTGAAACTGTCTGGTTTTGTCATTCAACATGCGGTGCTTCTTATATCTGGGTGGAGCTTTAAAAGGACACACCCATTCGCACAAGAACCCCCCCCCCACAGTACCGTACCACCAAAGACCACTTTCCCTTCTCTGTCCACTTCATTTTGATGTTTTGACCAAAATGATAGTGAGCTTTAAAAGTATTTGCCTTAAAGCTGCTGCAAACAGAGCCTTAAACCTATTAGTTTCTATAATTTCAAATTTTGCAAGTGGATACCTCAAAATGAAAATTGTTATTATTTACTCAGCTTCATGTTTTTCAAAATCCATTTGACTGTGCTTCTTCTGTTGAACACAAAAGAAGATGTTTCAAAGAATGACTGAGCCAGTCTTTTCTATACAATGAAGTGAATGGTGACCACAGCTGTTGAGGAAGTATTTCAGTGAATGAAAACAAATTTCAATTTATTTTGATTTATTTAGCACCCAAAGCTGTCGTATGGTTTGAAATATTGTGCAGGTTTTTTTTTTTTTTTTTTTGAGCTTGATCTCCATTCAGTTCCATTATGTGGAAAAGTGCAGCATGAACCTTCTTCAAAACATCTGTTTTTGTGTTTTACAGAAAAAGTAAGTCATACAGGTTTGGAACAAGTAAATAATGACAGAATGTTTATTTTCTGGTAAATTATCCCTCTACTGTCATATCCATGTCCCTCGTGTCCTTGGTGGTGATTTTTTTTCAAACTGATAACCGTGAACATTAAATGTCTCATTGGGACACCGTTTTCAGCATTACTGCAGAACAGTAGTTCTACTGTATATATCTTCACGACTTCAAAGTCTTCGGCTTTGCTTAATTAACATACGTGTACATAATTGTGTTTGTATTTTCTTGTATGACATAGCTTTAAGAACATAATTTTTTGACAAATTCAGTGAAAGGGAAATAACTCAGTCAAGACCTAAACCTCAAGAAACACCCAAACCACAGGAACAAAACCACACTATACCTCATTACACACAAAAATACCTGAATCGCAGCAACAGCGTCAAATGGTATTTGGCGAATCCTAATGTATGCCAGCGCTGTCACCAATGCAATATCTTCTCACAGTTTCAAAGCTACCTCTGATTTCTTCAACCAGCAAACCAGCTTGAAAAGACACGCGCTGCTATAGAGTTCTCATTACAAAGCAGGGGATGGCAGCGAGTGCCAACGTTGAAAACAAACCTTGTCGTAAGGGCAAGCGAACGCTCTGCAAAATGTTTTTTGTGAGAGTCGGGCAGGTAATAACCGAATTCTGAGGTCTGTTTGTAGTCATATGTAGAACTAATCATGCAGATAAGGGAAAAAAGTACTGTGTTTTGTTCTAGTTATTTTGTTCTTTTTTCACATTAGCATATATCTGACATTTGTAACTAGACACTCTGTCTCTGCAGCTGGGATGTCTGTTTTACATTTTTAACTTGAATATATATTTTGTACTGATTACTCAATGGTTTCTAAGGATCAAGTGCTTGTATGACACTAAATGATATTGTTGCGAATGGATTTTTCTTTTCCTTCTCTGTTTTTCTTCCTCTCCACTATTGCTCTGAATTTATAGTTTTAGTTCCTATGTACTATTCAGATATGTACCTCAAAAAAAAAAAAAAAGGATAAAAAATGGACTAATAATCAGTTGACAAATACCTACCTCCAGTCTTGAAAATGGAAAAAAAAAAGGATAAAAAATGGACTAATAATCAGTTGACAAATACCTACCTCCAGTCTTGAAAATGGAACGAATTTTTGGCCTGGTTTCTTTCAGTACGAATGTACTGAAAAAGACTTCAGGACTGCACAAGATCCTGTTTTACAAACGTATTAAATTTAAATGAATGTTGCTTCATTTTAATTCAGCTGGGGGAGAAGACGGCTAAGAGAACAACTACACACACACAAATACACATCACAAAAAAAAAAGAAAAAGAAACTTGAAACATTCTTTCAGGTTTGAAAGAATATGTTCAGGTTTTGTATATTGCATATATGAATATGTTTTTGAAAATTAGTAGATACTGAGATATACTTGATTAGCGATTTTTGTGTACCTTACACACGTGATTTTCTTTTTTTTTTTTTCAGATGTATATGTAATGCTTATGTAGTGAAAGAATACACCTTTTCAGTCTGTCACCATGAAAACCTTAAGAAAAAGTTAGCATGGTAATCTCAACTGGGCCTGAGGTAGAGCCTCAGAGGAAGCTAATGGAACTGTTGGCATGCCCCTTGAACTTACAATGGCATGTAATGACCGTCTTTATATGCGGCAGCTTGGCTTTTGCCACAAACCAACATTGAACGTTGCTCAAACACTGTAATGCTACTACCTAAATGGTCACAGTTCTTGTAAAAGTGTCAGTTTTCGAATCGGACCGCTTCTTTACTCTCCTACGAGTTCAACAGATGTAACAGTCGCTTGCTTAAGTGGATGGACGGTGTGTCTCGGCTCGACCTCAGTGGTGGTTGCATTTTAATGCTGTTTCAAGGGCGTTTTTGTGAGATCTGTACATAATTGCTTTCAGCCGTCCTAAAACTTGGCATTGTGTTCATATACTTCCAATGTTGGTTTGAATATGTATCCAGGAGCCACTGTCCATGTGCTTTCAAACTCTGGGTGTCTTAATGAAGATGAAGTTGTATTTTCATGACAACATGTTCCAGTACAATCGAATACACTTTTCTACCTCCAAGAGGGCCTCCTGTTACCTCATTTTTCAAACTTACTATCTGCTTAAATTCAGGTGCCTGAGTCCAGCGAGAACGGCGTAAAGTTTTAAATTTATATATAAATAAATATATATTCATAGTTTATTTTTGTGTGTTTTATAAGACTGTACCTCTCTGCCTCTCAGTCACAAGTTAGGTAAGACTGGACAATTTGACTTGTTTTTAAAATGTCTTACATTTATGCAACCTTTTGTAGTTTCTGCGGCTGTGGAGATGGAAAAGCATCACTAGGTGGTTACTCTCAGCTTTTTTCACTTGATATAACTTGTTTTCTAACAATTATGGCTGTTTTCGCTTAGTATTGCTGTTTGTGATTTCACTTAAAATTGCTTGCTTGTTTAAAAAAAAGGACAAAAAATGAAAACGTATTAGAAAAATGTCCTCTTTATACGTATCCACGTCTTTATTCAGCACAATAAAAAAGGTGCCTGTGACCATTGTTGTGTATGAAGTCAATATTACCACTGCATACTTCATCTACAAATGTTCATCCCCTTTGTACCACTTTTACATTTATTTTATATCCACAGTGACTTACATTGCATTTAAGGTACTTTTCACTTCACAAAGCCTTCTTCACACTGACGGCGATTAAAATGCAAATAGACACTCAGAATACATATGATTTTTAGCTGTTTCTACTCTTATGACGTGGAAATTTTGTGTGAGGGCAATAAAAAAATACAAATCCCCACAGATTTTGCATTAGGATTTATTCCCACGACTTGTTCATTTGTTCTGTCGCTTTAGTAAATCATAGCCATGGTGTACAATTCATTCTCTTGTTTTGAACATGCATGAAATTTTCATGGGGAACCTTTTGCCCTCATGCGAAACGCCAATGGATTCATAAGGCAAAAATATATTTATTGTGGCCACGAATTAAGAAAATGTTCCCATGGCTTATCCATTTGTCCTGTCGTTTTCGTCAGACGTGGCCACGTTGTACTAATTCATTCATTCCCTCATTTTGATTTACAAGGGAAAAATCACTGTCTCTCTTTGAATATGAATGATATCCGGTCGCTTTATCACTGAAAATCATGTCCATGTGAACGTGCCATGGAATTCCATATTTAATATCTTGTTATTAAAGGTCCAGTAAGGGGCCACTCACACAGAATGCATTTTTCCATTCCACTGTGCTATTTTTCCATTGTTTTCTATGTAAACATGCTGGATGGACGTGTTTGATCATTGCACTTGGATCACGCGTCTTCTGCGGTGTCTCGCGTGTGACAAGGTGTTCTAAAAATACAGTGCTCGAGTTAAAATAAGTTCAACTTTTAAAAAACACATCTCAAGGCCTTGTGTTTATCTCAATCCACTGCCCGCATCTCGCGTTTTTCAAAGGAAAAATGCATTCTGTGTGAAATGCACGAGTAATTTTAAATTTTTCTTTTGATCTTTGTTTCTGATGTTGTAAAACGAAACAAAACAAAACATTTGTCAAAAAAGCCATTCATTTATTTATGGGTGAAACTTACTTAGTGAAACTTACTTAGTGCACCCTTTTATTAGGGACCCTAATTCCTTTCTTAATGCACATGTATATGTATACAAGCCAGCACTGAAGTGTCACAGGTCATTCCAGTGCAGAACAGTGAGACTGCACGTTTAGAAACCCAGGCCATGTATGGATCTTTTAAGTACACAATGTTACGGAATTTAGACTACTGTTTTTTTTCTTCTCCCTCCCCCTGTACCTCTTTCACACACTCTCCCCCTCTTCCCAATTCCGAAACATCTCTTTAACTCCCATTCTTTGGTGTACTCACGGGGGAGACATAGCCCACACTGGAGCCCCTGACCTCTGCTCCACAGCAGACTCTGTGAATGGGCTCTGAATGGGACTTCAAAGCTCTGCCGTTCTGACAGGGAGCCTCACTCATCCCCCCACGCTCCCCTCCTTTTTGCAACCCCCCACCTCACCTCGCCTCGGTTATTTGCCCCTATCCACTACAGTGCTTAGGATTTGGTTGTTAATGCCAGCTCACATCGTCAAGCTGCTCAGTAATTCTGCCAGACTGACCC